AGAGAGAGAGAGAGAGCAGGTGTTCCACCAGTCAAACTCGTCAAAACAAGGTCAGTCCCTCCTTCCTTTCTAGCTTTCAGCCAGCAGATGGACACGCACACATGCACACATACTCTTATTGGTGTCTGGGAGGAGGAGGAGGGGGGTCACACCACAGTGGCCCACCTGAATAAACAGTGGCAAAAATGGTTAAGGATGACACACACACACACACACACACACACACACACACACACACCACAAATAACAAACGCACACATGGGACAGAGCAACAGACAGTGGCTACAGTGAGCCTGAGCAAAAAGGACAGAGCAGAGGAACAGAGGAGGGTAAAGGGGGGCAGGAGAATGAAGGGGTGACGTGGGGTCAACAGCTGGTGACCTTTGCTGGGAAAAACATATCAGTCTCAAACTGGTGGGAGAGGTTGACCTCTCTCACTCCTTCTCTCGCCCTGTTCTCTTTCCACCACTCAAACCAAATTCCCTCTCCGCTCTCGCTCTCCCTCCCCCTTCTCCCTCCCTCCCACAGTCAGAGCCCAGCTGCGTGTGAGAGACAGATAAAGCCCTGGCGCTCAGCGTGTTTGAAGTCTACACATACAATAGTAGCGTTTATAAAAACTGATTATCATACGGCCAGGGACATTTCTGATAAAGAGGAGCTGGGTTCATTCTTGTCCCCTTTGATGTCCAGGGGCCTTATTCGCCTTGATTCCACTTAATTCCAAATCTCATTACCCTGCCCCATTGACCATCTGATTATCATGAGCCTGGCTCATTTCGACACTTCTTTTGATGTATGGAAAGTACATCAGCGGTTTACACTACCATGGCCATTCTCCCATTTCCAGTGTCATCTTAGGGGGCGATTGTTTGGCCCGTCTCTTCCCGTTTGAAGCTGGCGGTTGGGACAAAAGAAGAATTATTTCAAAATCAGATCATCCAGCGGGCCATATGATTTCTATCCCAAGCGGTTTTAAAGGCCCCCTTTGATGTTCACTGGGCAGGCGACGAGCACAATGGGAAAGTTTGTGATGCTATGCTGTCACTGTGACAGTGTGTTTTTAAAACTTTTTGTTGCTTCTTTTTTTTTGCCATCCTGCTGTGGCATTCTGGGAGTCTGCGGGATGCCAGTGGCTACGCCAAGTGCATTGTGGGACTATGGGAGCTTGGCATATGGTCTTTGGTTAGTTTGTCAGGAGTTTCTATTTGATCAGGTAACTTTTGTTTTCAATCTAAGATGCATAGAGCTCTGTTGATAAAAACTGGAGCAATACAAGTATACAGAGCGTATACAGAGCGTCCTATCTGAGCCTAATGAATTCCACGAGAGCGACAGCCATCAAAATGAGCTGCCAGACATGTCAGTTAAAGGAAGAGGATGAAAGCTACAGGAAATGGAAAAAAAGGCCAAAGAAATGTCACATCTCAACCAAGCATGAGATTAAGAAGAACAGAGGAAGAAAAAAAAAAATCGAGCCCACTCACCTACCCTTTCTTAGTCAACCAATTCCTGTTTTTTTTTTATTTTAGATACAACACTACTTTACTTATAAAGAGGTATTTTGCACTCCCACAGGAGCAAGTCATCAAGTTCTCTGTAAGTGCAAACTTTTCAAATAAGATTCTGAATCAGATATAGCCAAATATTCATGTGTTGATAAGATTACACCGTCCAATGATTATCTCGACAAAAGTTAATCATCAGCAACCTTGAAATTTGCTGAATGAACATGAACATCTCCAAGCAGTATACTATCTATATGTTAATGACTAAAAAGGTTTGTTGAAATAAAGTTTCCAATGAAATCATGTAAAAATGTAAAATGATAGGAACTGTTTGTTGTGTGCAACTACTGGCATTCTGCATTACTCTGCCCAGTGTGTGCCACAGTAGGACAATAGCAAGTACCCAGTTTGCCCCACACAGCAGAATTTTGAAATAAATTGGACATTTAGAAAGCCAGAAATACTGGAAACTTGACATTTCCTTAAGGCATTTTAATGTGTGTAATTCTACAAACGTGATTAACATTGTCACTTCCATCAGACAGTGTCAGCAACTAGCAAACGGATACGCACAGACTCACAGGCAGTCAGACAGTAGCAACCACATATGATGCTTTTTGGAGACTTCACTGTTGGATGAAGGACTGAAAGCAGATTCTCAGTTCATTTGCCTGTGTGTGTGTGTGTGTGTGTGTGTGTAAACCACTGCCTCACACAAACTTGTAGTCAGACGACATTCCAGACTATCTCAACCAATGGCACAGGAACACTGCCCTGCAGTCTACACTGCTGCCTCTGCCAGCGCACATACACAGACACTGTGGGCTTGGTGGTTGCAAGGGAGATGCAGTGCATTGGATTTACTTTTGGGAATATCTCGCTTCCCCTTTTTCCCTTCCTTTGCCTCTGCGTACCCTCCTACTGCCTCCTCCACTACTTCTCCCCTAACCATTCCTCTTTCGATATGTGGTGATGTCACCCTGACCTGACACTATTCACATCCCCCATCCCGTTCCTCCCTCCCTATTTTCTCATCCTTCCTCCCCTACTCACTGTCACCCATTTTACTGTAAGCCATGTGACTGACAGCTGCAGCTGCAAGTGCTTCAGCGGGCCTTCGCTTCAGCTGTGTGGCTCTGTAAAGATCCAACCCTCCCTCCAGCCTCCACTCCCATCAGCCCTACAGGCCTTCCCCTAGCAACAGGCTTCAAGTCAGGCCAAAAAAAGACACCCCGATCATTTGGAGGGGCTGCGACTCTGCATAGTTTGTGCAAGTAAAGAACTTGCTCTGTTTTGTATGGAAAGCACAGTGAACAGAGGTTTGTGCTAAACCCTACAGATACAATAACAGATCAAACTTCTTGGAAACATGACAAATATTATCAAATCTTTGAGTTGCTTAATCTGTTTCCAGCTTATAGACCTGTTTCTGACCACATTAGTGTAGGCAGATGACACATAGGGAGAGGCGAAGAACAGCTCACCACTGACAATGACCGATATTTACAGGAATCTGCAGCTGCATACTTCACTACCACTGTCAGTCAACCGGCATGCTAGCAAGGTGTGAAAGAGAATATACACAGACTGAAGCTAATGACTAGCACTGGACTAACTTGGGGGGGTTTAACTTTCTTGTTTCAGGTTGAGTGATATGTAAGAATGTTCCCCAGTCACACGAGGGGGAAAAACTATGGCATGCTGGAAAACACCAGTCCACCCAACAGATGATACGGGTGGAATGCTGTCATGATTTTACTTATCACTGTGTGTGTGTTCAGAAACATACCAAGAGGCATTACCATTTATCTTGTTTTAATAACTGTAATAAGCTTTCATATCGCCTTCAGCCTCTTGATTCTTATCTTAGGCTTATTTTCGTCTAACCTTAGAAAACCTTTCATTGTACTGAATTTGTTTTTGTGTGTCACGCATTCCTTCAGACGTTCATAGTAACAGAGAAAAATGTTGAATGCGTTGAACCAATAATGATGTCTACAATAAATAAAGTTATCAATCACCACTTTCTCACAAAATGAGACTGTTGTGGACTACTGAGCTCACGTTTGTGACATACACAAGCACACACACGCCCTTCCCAAATAGGGCAGTAAATCTCCAGTGAGATGCCAGTGCAGGCAGTCCCCACAGGCAGTTTCACAACTGGGAGCAACCAAGTTGGAACTATATATGAGCTAACACACCATGCAGCCAGCATCGCTCACTGTAGACAGTCCACATGGCCAGCTAATAAGACTAGTCAGTTACGTGACCACATACTAATCGCTAAAGACAGAGTTCAGACTTTTTTCGCCAACAGAGCTCACGAAGAGAGATTTTTGGTTTAGTTTAAATTTAAGTTCAATGCAGGATTACAACCTCCACAGACGTCAAGAGACTATTTCAAGAGCATTTCAAAGAGGCCACTGACCTAAGAATACAGTAACAGAGAGCCAGATCATTCTGGTAGCATGTTTAAGCAGTAAATGGGGTGGTACTCACAGGTAGAGAGATACAATCTTGGAAGCAGCCTGTCCTAAATTTGGTATGGAGGTCAGCTCATTGTGGTCCAAACGCCTGAAAGTGGAAAAGGCACATAGGAATAAGGTTAGAGAACAAAACTGTGCCCCGAAGGAAAAAAAAACAAAGAAATGCAACACATAATGATATGTTGTTAGGAAGTTTGAGGACTTAACAGAGATTTTTCCAAGAAGTACAAATACATATTCTTACTTCAAATGTCAAATTTAGGCAAAAAAAAAAACAGAGCCTGCAGGAAACTAAAAAGGTACAATGCTTGTGGAGCTGTACTTGCATAAACCAAAGATTTCAAACACAGCTCGTCACGTCTGCCGCAGAGCAAGTGGCAAGTCATCCTTTTAAAAACCAAAAATAACATGGGAGTAAAACAGATGTCGAGGAGCGTATGACTGGCCGGCCGGCCTGCCAAAGATGTCACCAGTGTGTGTATCATCAGTTAGCTTGTGTATGTGTGTGTCTTGTGTACCGGTGCTGAGTGACACAGAGCCAAGCCCTCTCTTCACCATATAAAATATTTACAAGGCCAGCGTTGGCCACAGTATCGGGTGGTGGAAGGGTGGCTTAATATAGAAAACCACCACTTTATTCTCAATTGGACTTAGTTCAAGGCAACACATACGAGGATGCTACTAGGAAGTAGAGTGGCAACCATGCCCGTTACTCAGAATTAAGTCATTGATAAAAATGCATCACAACTGAGACTCATGGATTGAACTGAAACTAGAGCAAAGCTACATTTAAAGTTTAACACTCACAACAGAGAAAAAGCGACTAACTGGCCCAAACACAAGTCCATGAGAAAGTATTCTGGGTTTTGCTGTCGATTGGCTCAGTGGAAATGGAGTGCGTATTCTGTTGGTGACTACTTACAGTTCTCTCAAGTTTGGAAGGTTGTCAAACGCTTCAACACCGATGGCGGTCAGCTTGTTGTGGCCAAGATTTCTGAAGAAGAAAAAAAAAAGAAGAGAAGATGTAAATTTAAAAAGCAGCTTAATTCCTTATACTCTCAACAGCACAACAATGTTCATCATAACTTTTACTGCATTTGTCACAGCCATTTTTCAGTAGTTCAAATAAGGATCCAGATCAATAACAACAATTCTCTCTCCCATTTGACAAACAGCCTCATCCGTCCACATTAAGTATGCCTGAAAACACTGCAGTACATCCATTCAGCTGGCCTTCAAGGAGGGCCAGATCAATACTATCGATACAGAGTGCCTCTCTCTCCTGGCTCACTTTCCAAACATAACCCACAGGCTATTCATCTGCAGCAGTCAATTTGCACTTTAGGCTAATAGTGTATTTAATAGCTGGCACTTGACTTGTACGGAGGCTTATTAGAGTGATTTGTCCAGTGATATAGCGTTACCGCCGTCAGAGGGCGAGAGAGAAGGAGGCGTGTGTGTGTGTGCCTTACACACCCACACATCTGAATTTCAGATTGAGCTTCCCACGCTATATGTATGAATCAAATTTATTTCATGCATAAACAAGAGCTATCTCTGTCACACACACACACACACACACACACACACACACACACCTCCTGCCTGGCTGGCATGCAGCCTGCCTGTTGGCAGAGAGGAGGCTGCAGTGAGAGTGGTGTTTGTGTTTGTGTGGTGAGGTTAGGGCTAGGCGAGACAAAGGGAGCCCACAGCTCCGAGCCTCCCGCCTCCCGCCCTTCCATCCCTCTGTCCAGACGTGAGAGACGGCCCAGGAATGTTTCACAGGCCTGCCGAGAGATGGCCGCTTGTTCCCAGAGACTAGGGATGCTTTTACCTGATGCAACACATTCCTCGTCCTCTTGTCCCACTGTGGCCTTAAAAGACCGCTGTGTGGTCAAGTCGACTCCACCTTTTTAAAATATATTTTTGGGCCTTAATTAAAGAAAGTCCCTCCTTCTCTCCCTACATCAGAGACCTGCAAACGACAGCGACTGTGTGTTTGTAAGGGGGAATGTCAGTGCCTTGGATCAAGGTAATGGCTGCTGTCTGGTGGTGCTTTTACAGCCGTCTACAGCACAAGTCAAAACCACTGCACCAAAATAGAAAAATGCAGACATTTGAATATTCATAGACTTCCATTCAAAGCAGAGGCTGGGGGAGGCTGGGGGCGTCTATGTTTCATCACAGTTCAGTAATACAATTCAGTTAACCACTCAAAAATAAACATGTTTTATTGCCCAATACCTCTAACACTATTTATTCCTATCAATCTTAATCTCCAACTCACTTGACAGATTTCCCTTTCTTGTCTTCTCTGTCTGATTACAGATAATGACAGCCTCTCTACCCAAAGCTTTCTCCCTGCGTGTGTGTGACATGATAATAGCAGAGCATGTGTCTGCCCTTCAGGCATAGGCCTGACAGGGAGGTGTGCATGTGTGTCTATGTTATGATCTACTGGGGCACCTACCATTGTGGCCCAGATCACTAAACTGCCGTCCGCTGCAACAGGAGGCAATTACCTTGTTATGGTGAAGATAAGTGAAAAATCACCCTGCTTTCCTATGGGCCGCCTTTGCCTGGAGGTATGTATATTCAGCCCACACACACACACACACACAGAGAGAAGATGGACTTGGGAGAGCAATGTCATCTGGAAGAGCGATCACTAGTTTTTATTAACCTGCTTTTGACACAAAGGGTCAAGTATTTTACCCATGAACCTTGCATTACAAGCAAAAAAATTTATCCAGGAACACCACCTCCAAAAAAGTTCTCTCAAAAAGGTGGAGGAAATTGGCTATGCACATATTCAAAGTCAAAGCTTAAAATAAAGGAACAGGACAAAACAGAACAATGGGATGACTAACAAAAAAAGCAAGTCACGTCTGAGAGCCAAACCTGCCATACTGGTGCTAAAGGCCACAGTAACAAACAAAACTGGTCCTTTGTGAGTGTGTGCAAGCATGCATGTGCCTCTTTCTCAGTCACCTATGGTGTTTACACAACTGAGTCTTTTTCACTCCATCTCATTCAGCCAGATTTATTTTCTCCCCTATCAGATGAGATAAGTTTCACAGCGTTTTAACACCTACTGTATGAGGCGATGGTGATAACGCTGGTTTCCCTCCCTCTCCCGCTCCCTTCCCCCGTCTCTTTTGTGGAAGAAGGGGTTGGAGGGGGGGTGGGGAGCTCCAGTGCTAAGCATGGTTAATGCTTTCCAGAAAGTGACCTTACAATCACGCTGTTTCTGGAAGAGTTTGCAGAGCGGGGATCAGAAGCCTAGGAGTCATTAGAGTTTCTGACTTTGAGAGATGTAGACAAGAAGGCCGGCAGAAACAAACATACTGAGAAGAAAGAGAACCTTCCAAATGACCATTTAAACTCCACGCTAGGTGCAGAGAACAAACCAACGATGGCACAACAGCGTCCATAAGTTTACATCATATAATTCAACCTGCCTGAGAAGGACGTCTAGTCGAGATGGGAACTGTCGCTGTGATTAACCATGGCAAACACTACAAAGCAGTTTGCCATAATGCTTCAAACACAGCATTCCATTGTATGGTACAATTAGTTTATACAAATGGGCAGGACTGTTTGACATTAGTCAGCGGGATCAAAATCAAAAGCACTCTCTGCCAGGTACTTAACCAAAGAAAGTGTGTGATAATTTAAGGCTGCATGTTGAGCCAAATACTAATTTTCCCACTGAATTCCAGCTGTACTGACTGCTGCACTGCAGCCAGGTAAAGCTACAGTCACTAAATATGGAATTAAATGATTTGTGTTTTAAACAATAATAAAGGATTATTAAAATGAATTATCATGTTATTACTCTTGCAGTCACAGTTGGTTTAAAAGTATCATGTACATTTAATTTATGACTCTCATCAAACAATCAGAACTAAACCACAGAAACATGCTACGATTATGATGATGATTCTCAACCACCATTCAAAGTACCTATAAAGTCATCATATTCAAGTCAAAACTGCCTGATATTACAAATATTCACAACTATAAAACAGGCCTCAATTCTCATCTGTTCTAAACTGCACTAGGTGGCATTTTACTGCTGGCCAGCGGAGAGCACAAAGGTCAGCATATCCTCGTTTCTGTCGGCAGAGCTGGAGAGACACGACACTGGAGGGCAGCTGGAAAGAGGGCTGGTCTGGGCTAAAGAGGTGCAGTTACACTCCCACCTTCCAATCCCACTCAGTCGCCAAGTCAGTCGACAAAACAATAACCACAAACACAGAGAGACTGTTATCAGGAGGAAAATGTTTCTCTGTGGAAAATAGCAGTAAGTTCAAACGCAAGGCTGCAACACAAGAATACCAGGAAAAAGAACCACCTGTTGCCCTGAATCCGTGCCACTCGTTTTGAAACAATCACTCAGTTCATTAATCTATACATATAAACTGATGACTATTTAGTCACTGATTCAGTCATTTATCAAGTATAAAAACCAAGCATTTGCTAGTTGCAAGTTTTCAGACATGAGGTCCCTTGAATTTCTCCCATTCCTATCCTCATGAATGTGTATAACTTTAAAATAAAATGGGATTCGTGACCTTAGTGAAGGGCATTTATAAGCTTAACAAAAATTATTGCTGGATCAGCTTCTAATCAGCCAAATACTGGTCGGTTACATGAGCAATTGGAAACATTAGCTTCAATCTGAGCCTGCCTAGAAGTCTTTAAAATACAACGTGATAAACTCATAAAAGGCCCGTCTGACTAAGCAAACTGTCTAAGGAAGAAAAATAGGGCTCGGTGCCTGCAGTAGACCGTCATTGCTGGACCATGTGGCTGATCTGACATATAAAACTCATTAAAAGGCTTTAAAAAATAGCTGCGTTATGGGTGCTGTGGGAGTAGAGAAAAGCTGGGAGTACAGGAGTGATGTCATCGTGTATGACACTATGCTTGTAAGTCAGCACACTGTGTGTGGGAGAGAGGAGACATGAGGAGGGAGGAAGAGAGCAGGGACTTACACATACAGAGATACATCATCATTATCTTTCCCATTTCTATGATTGATAAATGCAGTGTGAACTTTGCTCGCTTAAAGTGTGAAGTGATGTCAGTGATGAGCCTTCTGTAGTCCAGCTGGGAGACAAAGGCCCTTTAATGTGGTCGATTTCAGACCATTATAAAACTAGCCAAAGAATAACCTGAGTGTCAGGGCCAGACACACACACACAC